GGATTACAGACAGGCACCATTGAACACTGCTTCCTTGTTTTCTTGTGACTGTTGTGCAAAGGGCTGATTCCCATGGAAATGTCATCAGGCCGCTGGGTCCAGCCAGTCACGTCTGTCTGGGTGATGGGACATGTTCTGCACTGGAGCTCTGTGGTGTCCTGGCTGGCTCAGGAATGAGCTAAGGCTGGGAGGAACATCTGTCTGCTGACCGTCCCCACCTCCTACTCCCTTCAACAAGGAGAGCCCCAGGCAGTAGCTCCTAAAACCTGCTGCTGGGGCAAGCCTCAGGCCAAGGGAGGGGCTTGTTCCTCGTTCCCCCTGCCCCCTGGACAGTAGCCCTGAGCACCCTGCGGAAAGGTACACACAAGGCCCTCTCCTTGCCTGGTCATCCTGGCCTCCTGGCTGGCCTGGGGTCGCTGCAGTTTCCCTTCACTGGGCAATGCTGTCTTCGGTAGCCCCGTGGTCCCCCTGCTGGACACCAGGGATGGGGCTGGAGGGTTGCTTCTTCCCTCAGCATGTCCTAGGGATGCAGAGCACACAGGGCACAGAGCAACCTTGTCTTTGCTCCTTTGGGTGCACTGGAGTCCTTGAGGGCAGGGTACTTGCTTTCCGTGACCCTGCCCTGAAGCAGAGCCAGCACACCAGGGCTGTAGGGGCTGCCAGGGAAGAGACACCCTTCCTTGACCTGGTAGTAGGGGCAGCGCTTTCTCTCCCCACCCAACCTCCTTCATGTCTGGCTGCTGGTGACTGAAGCTGGTAGTGGTGGCGCTGCCTCTGGGCAGCAGTGAGGCTTGGTGCTGTCCATCTTTCCTGTGCCTGCAGCTGGAGGTCAGTTAGTGGCGCCTCCTTTGGAACTGGAGTTAAGCCCAGCCCGTGCAACTTAGCGAAACCCTGCACCAAAACAAACAAATAAATAAAGATCTGGAGCTGCATGGAGGCTGAGGCAGGAGGACTGTTGTGAGTTGAGACCAGCCTGGGCTAATAATGAGTTCCAGGTCAGTCTCAACGACATAGTGAGACCCTGTCTCTAAAAAACAAAACAAAAATAAATAAATAAATAAAATAAAGATCTGGAATGCAACTCCGTGTAAAAGTGCTGGCTTCAATCCCTAGAACGGCAAAAAAAAAAGGTAGAACCAGGTGTGGTAGCATACAAACACAGTCCCAGCTTTAGGGAGGCTGAGGGAAGGGGTGGCTTAGTGGTAGTGGCACGCCTAGCATACGCTAGACTCCAATCTTCAGGGCCCCCAAATAAATAGAATCAGACAGTGGAGCAGGACTTAAAGCAACTCTTCCTTAAATATTTTTTCTTTTTCTTGGTATCAGGGATCGAACTTGGGTCCTTGCGCTTGCAAGGCAGGTGGCAGAACCATTGAGCCAAATCCCTGGCAAAATTTAGGTATACTATTTCTTTTCTTTTCTTTTTTTGGTACCAGGGATTGAACTCGGGACCTTGTGCTTGCAAAGCAGGCAGAGGCACCACTGAGCTAAACCCCCAGCCCTCTTCCTTAAATATTTGAGAATGCAATGAAATTCCGTTGGCCTGAGTTTTCTAGAACTGTATAGACTGTTTCCTCTTGAGTCGGTGACGCTAACAAGGCATTGCCTTTCAAGGAATGCCTGTTTCACCTGTCAGCAACTTTACTGGCTCACACACCATGCCCTTACGCCTGAGGCCTGAGACAGGCGCTTGCTAAATTGCTCAGACTGGGCTCACACTTGCAACCCTGCTGCCTCAGCCGCCGAGCGCTGGGATTACAGGTGTGCAGACTCCTTATTACCCTTCCAGTGCTGTGAGACCCATGGTAATTCCATGTCTCCGCCACACAGCTGGAGCTCTGTCCATCTGCTGTAAGTCCTGCTCCACTGTCTGATTCTTTTTGGTTTTTTTTTTTGTTTTTTTGTTTTTTTTTGAGACAGGGTCTCACTAGGTAGTTGAGATGGACCTGGAACTCACTATGTAGCACAGGCTGGTCTCGAACTCCCAGCGATCCTCCTGCCTCAGCCTCCTGAGTGCTGGGATTACAGGCGTGCACTACCATGCCTGGCTTCCACTGTCTGATTCCATTTATTTTGGGGCCCTGAGGATTGGAGTCTAGCATATACTAGGCGTGCCACTGCCACTAAGCCTCCCCTTCCCTCAGCCTCCCTAGAGCTGGGATTGTGGTTGTATGCTACCACACCTGGTTCTACCTTTTTTTTTTTTTTTTTGCAGTTCTAGGGATTGAAGCCAGCACTTTTACACGGAGTTGCATTCCAGATCTTTATTTTATTTATTTATTTTTGTTTTGTTTTTTAGAGACAGAGTCTCACTATATAGTTGAGACTGACCTGGAACTCATTATTAGCCCAGGCTGGTCTCGAACTCACAACAGTCCTCCTGCCTCAGCGTACATGCAGCTCCAGATCTTTATTTATATATTTGTTTGTTTTGGTGCAGGGTTTCACTAAGTTGCACAGGTTGGGCTTGAACTTTTGGTCCTCCTGCCTCAGCCTCCCAGAGTACTGGAATCACAGACTTCTGATTTTATTTATAAGAGTGTGTTCCCCGCTAAAAGGATTTCAGACATTAGAAAGCAGCTTAGTCAGGCCGTGTTGGGACAGATCTGTTGATGAGACTCCTGCAGTCCTGCCACAGAGGCTCTTCCTTCCCGCAGTCTCTGAGGGAGGTGAAGGCAGGAGCTGGTGGAGAGAAGAGTTGGGTTTTTTTTTCTTTCCCAGTACCAGGGATCAAACTCGAGACCTCGCACTTGCAAGGCAGGCGGTGGAACCATTGAGCTAAATCTCCAGCCCTAGGAGAGATGAGTTGGTAGGTGGGGAGTCAGGGTGGTCCAGTCCCAGCTCTGAGCTGCCCCGAGGTGCTCCAGGAGACCCTGCACAGAACAGGACCTGGGTGGGGACTTAAGACCTGGATGTGCATGGCAGTGGCTGTCAGCTGCCCAGAGCAGGGGGCCTTCGTCTGGCGGCCTTGAGGGGCTAGGAGTTGCTGTCATTCTGGGGTGGGTGCCAGCTAGGGCTTAGAGCAGTGGGCATTGCTGTCTGTGGGTGGAGAGGTGGGAGGCTTAGGGAGGAAGGGGTGGAGCAAGGGGGAAATGCAGGCTGGCTGGGGGTGGGTAGATGGGCCAGGCCCCGGGTTAAAGAGTCCCAGGAAGGGCAGGTGTCTTGGATCCTGAGACTCTGGGCACCCGGGGTGCTGCCCGCTGTCCAGCTTGGGCTGAATGGGGTCAGATCTGACCCATGTGGGAGCACTGGAAGGTGGCTGAGGTCAGAGCCCTTTATAGAGATGGTGCTGCTCTTGATAAGCAAGAAGGCTGGGCCTGGAACTGGCTGACGTGCAGCTAGCGCAGGTAGACAGGTCCTGTGGCCCTGGCGGGTGCGTTCCTCTTTCCTTTGGCAGCCATATCCTGGGTTTGCCTGTGCATTGAACTGATAAGGACCTGGATTGAATGATTCTGGGGCCCCCAGTTCTGTCCTTCGACGGGTGCTCTCTGCCCTGCCTTGGAGTCACTACCTAACAGGGCTGTTGGGGACCCTGCCCCTGCCACTGTGGCTGGCCCAGGGGCCCGGTGTCCTCCTTAGTCTCTCCCATCCACAGAGCCAGGGCTGTACCCCCGCCTGCCAGCCGGCTGGCTATTTAAAAATGTCCTTTAAGTATTTGAGTATTTTCTCATCCTTGGTGAATAACTTGGATTTCTGCAGCCAGTGGGCGGTGGGGGTGCCAGCCTGGCTGAGTTTGACCCTGCCCAGGGTAGGAAGGAACCCATACTGGCAGAGCCCCCTTTGCAGTTCTGGAGCCTGCAGAGAAGCCTCTCGGGAAGAGTTCTTGCCGCTCACCGAGGGTGGTGTCCCCCTCCCCTGACTGAGGTCCATGTGGCTGGCCGGGGTGGGGGGACTTGGGGTGTGCAGGCTTTGGCGCTGCCTGCCTGCTGGCAGGGTGGGGTGCATGCCTGCGGGGACTTGGTGTGCTGACCTCTTCCTGCTTAGGGGTGTGCTCCCTGCTGCTCTCCCTGCCCTCTGCATGACCGGGTTCAGCCTCACAGCTGGGGTGTGCGGGGCAGGGATCCGCAGCAGCAAGATGGGAGGCAAGAGTGCCTAGGATGCTTCCTACTGCGGGTGGAAGCGGGGAGTGTCCTGTTGTGGGTCACGGGACACCTGAAAACAAGCGCACTGTGCCAAGGTTGGCATGAGCACCACCTCTCTAGGCTGAAAAGGGGTGAGGAGAGATAGGGCACAGGCAGAAGGCTGAGGCAGGAGGATCACTTGAGTCCACGAGTTAAAGATGAGTCTGGGCAACATACAAGATCCCAAGTTGAGAACCGTCAAAAGCAAAAAGTGTGTGTGGGGGGGTTGGTCACAAGAGCTAGATTTGGAAGAAAACTTTCCCATAGAAACTTCAAAAGAATTCCCTCTGCCTCTCTCTCAGAGTATGTCACAACCCCCATTCTAGTTGGAGACGAGGTTCCTAGAGGGACCTAAATAGGGATTTCTGGCTGGGCGTGGTAGGGCGCACCTGAATCCCAGCACTCAGGTGGGTCAGGAGGATCACCATGAATTCAGGCCAGCCTGAGCTATAGAGACTGTCGCAATGCCCTACCCACTCTGCCCATAGATATTCTGGAGAGGCCTGTGGCCTGGGGGGAGGTCAGGAGGCCTGAGCTCTGTCAGACCTGGGTGCTGGTGATAAGTCCTTCCTCCCCCTCTCCCCCTCCCAGCAGGTGGCTCTGTCCAGGCTCCTGAACGTGGCTGGCTGCTAGCCTGGGCCCTGTGGCACTGGCCAGCTCCACTTCCCGTCACGGGAAGCCCTCTGGGCCTGCCTGCTAAGTGTCGGAGGACTGCCCTGTGCTGGGACCCGAGGGGGCGCGGGCTGCACATCTGGGAGCATCACGCCGCGCGAGGCCGGAGCGTGTGGCTCCTGAGTGTCCCGTCCTTGTCGGCTCTGCACAGCATGGGCTGGAATTGGGAGCAGCAACTGAGCCAGTGGTTTTCTTCTTTTCTTGCAGGACAAAGAAGATGGGGAGCCGAAGATCAAGCAACTCCGAGAAGAGGAGGAAGAAGGCGAGAAGCACAGGTTGGGCCTGCGTGCGCGCGCGCTCAGTGACTGTCTGCCCTCTCTCATCCGGCCCTGCATCCTCTCCTTGGCTGCCTGGCTGTTCCTCCTCCAGCACCTTTCCTCTTGTGAAGCACGTCACCTGCAGTCAGCCCTCTCTCCCCCGTGGGGGTGATGGACTGTGTCCCCCTCTCCGGTCACTCACGCTTCCTGAGCAGTATTTGTCTGCCTGTCTGCCCATGCTGCCCTTTGCAGAGCCCCCACCCCCACCCCCCGCTGTCTTGATAGCGCTCAGCTCCCAGGCTGCCTCTTAGCTGTCTTCGCCTCTGTTCCCCAGGTAATTCCTGTAGGACATTGATCCTATTTGCTAAATCCTGGCCTGTGGTTGAGTTGCTGCAAGTTGCCTAGCACAGCACATGTGAGGGTCTGGCCACGCTTCCTTCATGGGCCTGGGCAGGAGGTGCGCCCACCCTCAGTCTTTGGGCTGTACTGCTTCAGAGCTGCCCACTGCTTTGCTTCACAAATGCCTGTGAAGCCTGGGGTCCGTGGCTGGGTGGTGGAGCGCTTGCCTAGCAAGTATGTGCAAGGTCCTGGGTTTGATCCCCAGCACTGCCAAAAAAATGTGGGCAAGGAAGAGCTACTAAGCGTGATTGAAATATACAGGGAATGTTTAAACTTTAAAAGTATATTACCACTAAGAGAAGGCACAATGCCTTGACCCCTCCTTAGAATCCTCCCCTTGGCCACTTTGAACACACTTTTCCACCCTTCTTGCCACTTTCTGCAGCAGTTCTGGAAGTCCCCTTTCCTGATACCTAGCTGTGCTATTGTGGCTGCTTTAATGTCCTGAAGTGATTCAGAACATTTCCTTTTTGTGGTCGTTTGACTTTGGGGAAGAGCCAGAAGTCACACGGTGCCACATCAGTGAACAAGGTGGGTGAGGACAGTGTCGCGCTCATACAAGCCTGCCTTTTCCTTGGATGGCACTCAGCAGCAGCATTCACTGCTTTTTGATCACACTTCAAAAAAAGGTACTGTCTTGTTACTTTTCTTGTTGCTGAGACAAAACACCTGATGCTGAACGTTAAGGAAGGAAAGGATTTTTTGGCTCACAGACTATAGAGGTAGGTAGGGTGGCACAGCAGAGGGGCATCGCAGAGGAGAAACAGTTCATGATGGGCAGAAGATAGCAAAGCAAGCAAGGGACGAGACAAGCCTCTTTCTGTCCTTTATGCTGTACCCAGGCTACCAGGATTAGGACAATGCCAAACCAGTCAGTGGACTGAATTAGTAATCACCCTGAATTACGCTGGGTGGCCTCATTATTATTATTATTATTATTATTATTATTATTATTATTATTAATTTTAATTTAAAAATTTGGATATTGAACCCAGGTCCTCTTACATGCTAAGCAAGCATTCTGCCACAGAGCTACATCCCTAGCCCTTGTTATTTTATTTTGAGACAGAGTCTCGTTAAATTGCCCAGGGTAGCATCAAGTTTGTGATCTTCCTGCCCCAGCCTCCCAAGCGGCTGGGGTTATAGGCCTGTACCACCACCCCTGGCCTTGGTGGTCTCTTCTGATCCTTCTCTTTTCTGGGAAAGAAGGGTCCTTGGCTAGTGGCAGGGAGTCAAACAGTAGATGTGAGTATTGGGCCATGTACCTGTCTCGTGAAGGGAAAAGCAGGTTTCAGGGTGGAGACCTGTAGGGCAGGAAGGAGAACTGCTGAGGTTCCCAGGCAGAGCTGTGGCATGGGCGTGACTCAGCCCACCTCGCAGGCCTCCTACAAGGCCCAAGTGCTGCAGAGCGGGCGTGGTGGCCCTTTCTGGGAGGCATGGCCAGTGCTGCCCCACTCCCCTCAAGCCACACAGACCTTGCCTGAGGCCTGGGGGGTGATGAACGTCTCTCATGCCCGGCCCTGCCCCTCCCTCCCTCCCACTCCCACTGTGCCCTGACCTGGGTCCTCCCTGTGCCCTGCCATCCTGTGCTGCCGCTGGCTCTGATCGGCAACCTCTGGGGGACCCCAGGCACCCTCCACATTACTTGATGTCCCTTGCAGAGGCGTGGTGGCCTTGTACACACCACACAGACCCAGAGCTGGTGGTCAGATTTGTCGACTGGCATAGCTGATGCATCGTGCACTTTTTTGTTTTTTTACCTAGGGTCATGGGGAAATACATTTTGAGACAATTCCTGGTTCAGCGGCGGGCCCTGAAATATTAGGAACTACAGAGGGAGCACGCTGAGGATTGCAAGCAGCTCGTAGGTTAGGCAGTGCCCTGTCTGTTATCAGCCCGCTGTTGGGTTGGAGCCGGCAGGTGGGAGGGGAGGGGAGGCCACCCTGCCCGGCCCTGCCTCCCATGGCGCTGGACGAGGTCTGCACCAGCAGGAGCAGTGACAGTGGCTTGTATTGCAGAGGAAGCCGGGCCGTGGTCTTCCTGCTTCCAGGCTGGGAACCTGTGCCTGACTTGTGTGGAGCCTGTGCTGCCTAGCTGAGGCCCAGCCTGGCCAGGCCCAAGCTCTTCAGTTGCCGATGCCTGACTTTCACCGCTCTGCAGGCCGAGTGCCGGGATGGTGCTGCTGTGCCTGGGCGTTTGGCAGATCAGCCTGACCTGGCACACGTTGCCGCACTCCAGGATGAGCCCCTACGCAGCCCTACCCTCCAGTCCCGAGTTCCTCAGTCGGCTCCAGGCCCAGGTGTCCTGTCTCGGCCAGCGGGGTGGCCATGGCACTTTTGTCGGCGAAGCAGCAGCACAGAGACCTGCGGCACTGTCTCCTGACCCTGTTGCTTAGAAGCAGGCCTAAGAGTGCCGTAGAGTGAATCCCAGAGGATTGGAGTAAGGAGGGTGGTAACCTCCCTCACCGTGACTCAGCCCCTGGCACGTCCCTTCTGTGCAGGAGGAGGGGCATGGCTGGTACTTTCTGCATGGAAAGAGTTAGGACATCTTGTGTTGTGACCTTCGCATCAGGACACCAGGCCTAAAGCCTGAAATTGCCATCTGCCCAGGGGCCGGGCGTGGTCCACATTAAAGGTGTGGGAACTACAGTTTTGGCTGAAGTCACTTGGCTAAAATCTCCCAGCAGTGGGATCCTCCCTGCTTCCTCTCTGAGGCGCCCCAGGGTGAGAGCAGTGAGCTCACCCAGCCTTCTTTGTCACCAGTGAGGTAATGCAGCCATGGCCACCCCTGCCTGAGTCCTCCAGACCCTCGGTGGTCCCACGTGGGGAGCACTGGGACCTCTGTCCCACTTGGCTGAGGAGAGCTTCTCTTCCCTGGCAGCCTGGGCAGTCTGTGGGCCAGGCCGACCGCTGGGCTGAGAGCCATTCCCCTCCGAGTGGCCCATAGGGTGGGGGTGAGGGCCGGGGCTGCAACACCCCTTCCTGTATCAAGCGCTTTGCTTTGAGCCCTTGGGATTCACCACATATCTGTATTTCTCCTTTTAAGTTTAAATCGGTATTTAAAGTACATTTCAGTTTTTCTAATTGTAGAAAACAGAATACAGGTTAAGACCTATCTGTATATGTCGTATGGCTTTGTAGCCTTTTTTACCTACTGTGGCCATGTCTGAGAAACATTCTGTTCAGCTTTCTATGGCTTTTCTCTTACTATGTTTGCGAGCTCTGCAGCTCATTTGTTAGGCCTGCCTTTGGTGAGTCAGCTGTTTTGGATTCTGTGAGCACCACTGGCTGTGGGTTTTGGGTGGGCTGGGTGCAGAGCTCAGCTGGAGACTGAGAGGACTGGGTTGGGCTCTTCAGTGTCTTGTGAGAGCAGCACAGGCAGACTGGTGCGGTCTGGCCATTGCCTGAGCAGTACCGGCTGCCTCTGACCTTGGTGAGTTCTGTGGCAGTGTTGTGGATCTGTGGTGGGGCTCCCAGATGGGACTCGTTTCTGGACCCTGACTCCTCTGGCCGTAGGTTTTGTTGTTTGTGTGTTTTCAGCGCTGGACATAGAACCTAAATTCTCCTCTGAGATCACCGCTGGCTCTGCCGCCTGGTTTATTTGTTTTTCTTTGGTACCAGGGATTGAACTTGGGCCCTTGAGCTTGTGAGGCAGGTGGCAGCACCACTGAGCTAAATCCCCGGTCCCTGGCTGCCTGTTTTTAAGGTGAGAGTGTGGCTGTGTGGTTTCTCTTGAGTTCTTCCTGCCTCCGACACTCTTGACCCACTGTGGTTTTGGGGCTAATGAAGCAAGGAGTAGCAGGAAGAGCTGAGAGGATGAGGATTTGTGGGCGGAGGAATTGTTTCCAAGATGATGCTACGGCTGACCGTGGAGGGGCTCTCCAGAACGCTGGCTGCGCCCCTGACCCCGACCCCCAGGAGCCTTGGGGTTGGATTCCAACTCCCACTCTTCCATCGCCTCGGCACATCCCCGAGTCTCTCTGGCTGTTTCCACACCTTCAGACCTCAGTGCCCGCTGCCGTGCTGAAGGGTGGACCTGGAGCGCGGGGTGCTGCCAGGGATCCTGCCCCCTTTCCAAAGCCCTCTGCGCAGGCATTCGCCAGGCTCGGCCAGTTTCTGGGCCACGTTCTCCTGGCAGCGCGTGTGACAGGTGGCAGCACCACTGAGCTAAATCCCCGGTCCCTGGCTGCCTGTTTTTAAGGTGAGAGTGTGGCTGTGTGGTTTCTCTTGAGTTCTTCCTGCCTCCGACACTCTTGACCCACTGTGGTTTTGGGGCTAATGAAGCAAGGAGTAGCAGGAAGAGCTGAGAGGATGAGGATTTGTGGGCGGAGGAATTGTTTCCAAGATGATGCTACGGCTGACCGTGGAGGGGCTCTCCAGAACGCTGGCTGCGCCCCTGACCCCGACCCCCAGGAGCCTTGGGGTTGGATTCCAACTCCCACTCTTCCATCGCCTCGGCACATCCCCGAGTCTCTCTGGCTGTTTCCACACCTTCAGACCTCAGTGCCCGCTGCCGTGCTGAAGGGTGGACCTGGAGCGCGGGGTGCTGCCAGGGATCCTGCCCCCTTTCCAAAGCCCTCTGCGCAGGCATTCGCCAGGCTTGGCCAGTTTCTGGGCCAC